CGGAAGGAAAAACTGTTCTAGTGTTTTGGACTTTTGGTAGAATCATAAGTTGGGGTTTGGATATGTTGATGGTAAACTTGGTGCTGGGGTTAACAGAATCATTTAATATTTCTTCTTTTGTAGTGACTGATTTTGATAAATTTTTGCTTATTTTAGTAATTTGACCAAACGTGTTACGTGTATAGCTTAATACTTAACACTGTGTGTGGTGTGAGAAGTAGTTGAGTAGTAGGTAGGGATATCTCTTTCATGGGATAAAAATGAATAAATAATGTATCCAACGTATGGTTGGACAAAGAAACGTGACTGCATTTATTGGTGTTTTTCTAGAGGTTTACCCAATGAATGGGACTCCCATAGGTCAATCTCCACCACTTGTCCAACTGTTATTGCTCATAGAAAATATCTATATTATTCTGGAAAAAAAAATTAGAAAGATAAAATGTCAAATCTCAAGCTATCTATTTATAAAGACTAAACTAAAGCCAGTGGATACTGCTTTTTCAACATGAAGTTAAGCCGTCTTTCATGAAAAAAGAAAAACAAGAAAAAAGAGAACGAAAAAAGGAAAGCTAGCAACGTGTGAAAACTCCTCAGAAAAGCAGAACACAAACATGGACCATAAACACAAATTTATGCTGGGAAGATATGGATGACTGGGTTTAGTTTTTCCATGGTAACCCAGTTTACATGCTCAAGAACCCGTTTTTTTTTTTTTTTTTTTNTTTCTTTATGGTTTGTAGAATAGGCGGCACAGGTGAAGTGAATTCGATTACTTGCATAAGCGAAAAATCTATAGAAGATAAATATTGATTTCTCAAGATATTTGAGTTCTGCATTTTGTGCTAGCTGAAAAACCATTTCTCTCTTCATCAACAATAATTACTATTTTGCCCGAATTTGTCGTGTTCATACAATCTCACATTCGATAATTCTTTGTATAAACAAATACTATGTACACAACTGATCGTTTTTGGCCGTGGTCGTCGGCTTGTGTTGAGGCAGGAGATGAGCGCAGGCCCTGATCCGGTGGTGTTGCTTTTGGGAGGGGGTTTTGGATTTGTAGGCCAAGATTTAGTTAGTCGGTAGGTGGAGTTTCTACATTCGTGATTTTGGGTCGGGAACAGTTTCGTCTCTTTGGGTGGTTGTTTTCGGATTTTCAATTCAAGAAGTGGAGGTTCGGTGCGGTCTTCTAATTGGTGGTGAGGACTTTATTTTAGTCTAGTTATTAGGTTTGTAGTTTGGTTTCTTGTGGGTTTAGTGTTATTTGTGAATTTTGTTCTAATGTTTTAGTTTAAGTCCATCTGCACGGTTTAGTTTGGGCCGATATGGTCGTGTAGGGGACACCTATTGTGTGTTTTCTCCAGTTTGGTTTACTTTCTAGCTCCGGTTAAAAAGGATATCATGTGTAATCTATTGATTAGTAGGTTGGTACCTTCGAGCGTTTGTTAATAAAAATTTGATCTTTTCAAGGATAAAAAGTTTCTAATAGAAAAAAAAAAAGAATTTAAATGAGGACGTTAGTTTCTAATACTACGAAGATTGAATTGGAGTGAGAATAAAGTTTTTCAAAAACGAGAATCATCAAATGAAAAAATTCAAAAAAAGTCCGCTAAAAACAAGAATCATTTTTATAAATTTTACAATATTTTTGTAACAGAATATCTTTCAACTAAAAACTAGATTATTTATGGTTTTGTTTTGTTAGGATTTCCATATCTGCCCTCCTTCCTATTACTTGCAGGTGCTAAAAGGGAGTGTGGGTGGCAAATAGAAAGCGCAGGTGTCGAAGCCGCTAAGACATAACGACTGCTCGAAGCGGTGACAAATGGAATAGCAAGAATCAATGGCTATTCATCGCTTCTTTCACAAAGAGAAGATAAAGAAAGTTGGAATTTTGATGAATTGAGATATCTGGAAATAATATTTTGGATATTTCTTCATTGTCTTTAACAATATTCCACGTCATCATTTTTTTTTTCAAAACGATAGAAAACATAATGACAATCTTGATTTCTCTTTTATTTCATATTATTATTGTTTTGTTTTTAAACAACACTCCATAAGAGATAGTACATAACATACATCAGACTCAGCTACTTAAGACATCCAAGTTACTCTGGCCCAATTTTCTTATCATAACTTACATCATATCATTTCAATTGTTCTTCCTATACTTTCCACCAAAGTTGATATATGAGTTATAATACACCATTAACTATATATTACAGGTAGAACACTTATGTTGGTTTAATCTAACTATACAACTTAAATACTGTATACTTATATTTCTCGATATATATAAGATATTATGATGGATAAAATTTATTTTGAATAATCACAAATAATATACTAGATTTATTGATAGAATATAGTGTGAATAAAATATTTTATAATATTACTTCACTAGATTTCTACAATAATATATTGTATTTGTCTTTTAAAATAATTCATTGCATAAGAAAGTCTTAAAAATCCTAGAATGGGTTTATAATAATCATAAATCAAATTATATATAATAATAGCAAGAAAAAAAAATAAAAAAGTAGTAAAAAGTAAAATAAAAGAGACATTATTATTATTATTATTATTTATTTATTTATTTATTTATTTTTTTAACAATGTGACATTGTGAACAGTTTGACGGGGGCTCACAAATATGGACGTGATGTCTCCGTTTGTGAACTTAAAAAGAAAAAAGTTTGATTTGTTCTGCAATCTAAACAATATNNACACTTAGTATGCACAAGGGATTTGTTGTTCTAAAAACGATCATAAGTTTATTAAGAGATGGTAAAAATAGAGAAAATTGTTAGAAATATTTACTGGACAACATATGTAAATTAAATGTGTATAGTTGTCATAATATTATTCAATTAAAGTGATTTACTAATTTGTAATTTGGAATAAAGAGAGTATCAAATTGTTATGGATTTCAAAGTGTAGATATCATTATGAGATTTTCTATTTGTTGAGTGACCGAACTGAAAATCAATATTTCTTATTTATTTGATTATGGCCCCAAACGACGAAAAGGTACGAGCAGATTTCCGAAGAGACGCTTTCTCCCTTTAAAAGTACCATTCTCTTCATTTGAGAAATACCTATGGGATACATACATAAAGAACATACTATATACAGTATAGACAATCTGCTATAAGGTTTCGATCGTTTGGAAGACCATACCAGTCCAACAAGATCGTTTCGAAGTCCTCATCAGTCTAATACACAGTAACACAAAAGCAGTCCAGTCCAAGAGAAGAGAAAAATTCCCAAATAATTAGGTACGCTTCCGCTCTTTTGTTTGTTTGATTCTCAACGATTGAACATGAATGATTTTGGGATTAAATTAAATCTACAAAAATGACATTCAATATCATAAATCAAAGTGAAGTAAGAAAGTAGGTATCCGTATTTTCTGTTTTTTAACAGAAAATTAGCATCATTTTTATTCGTCCGATAACTCTTGTCTAACATATAAGTGTGCCAATTTTGTGTTGAAAAATGACCAGGACTTTTAAAAGTTTAAAGTTAAAGTAGAATCTGATGAATCATTTATTTATATAAAATAAACAAAAAATCCGTCGACAAAAATAAAAAAAAAAAAAAGGTATGGACAAATATCAAACGCGCGGATTCTGAAAATCCGCGTTTGACCAGTCTTCAGAGGAACACGGATTTTGAAAATCCGTGTTTGACTAATTTTGACTTAAACACGGATTTTCACAATCCGTGTTTCCTTAATTACATGTTTATGTTAATTAAGTAAGATTAAAATCGATTTCGAAAATAAACACGGATTTTGAAAATCCGTGTATATATAATTTATTTTTATTTTTTTTTTAATTAACACGGATTTTGAAAATCCGTGTATATATAATTTATTTATTTATTTTTTTTTTTAATTAACACGGATTTTGAAAATCCGTGTTTTATGTATTTTTCATTTTTTTTTTT